CTGCAGCCATCCCATTCAGCCATTTGCAAGCATTCAGTCATCTACTGGTTTCTGGAGGAAGGAGGGTTTTTTCCCCCTCTGCTCTGCTGGCTGGCAGCATGCACACCCCAGAACTTAAGATTATTTGCAATTAATTTCTGTAGCTCTCTGTGCGCATTTAAGGACTTGACTACTTAGTCCACTTTGATTTCTAAACGCAGAAGTTCAGTGGACCTACACAATGCTAAAATGTATTACTAACAGGAGCTTCAAATGCATGCTTTTGTTCCTTTGCTTCTTCCTGCTCCTCTAGAGATCATCTCCCTGAGCTTTGCCTTGCCTTTGCCTTGACTTAGCCTCTATCCTGCAATATTTCTTGTAGCCCTTCACTTCAGGGCTCTGCCAGAGTGGTATTTCACAGCCGCATGCTCGTTCAGCCTTCCCTCTCAGAGGTATTTGATTGGAAAATGTGACTGGGAAATAGGCCATTTGCCTGTACAGCTGAGTGACAAACACAGGTGAGCACCATTTGACTGACCACATGCAGAGAACGCTATCGTTTTGCTTCGTTTCATCCTTTATTCTTCTAAACATTTGGACTTACTACATCTTTTTTACACTGGCAGCTACGTCTGAATTTTAGCAGTAGCTGCTGGCGTTTCTTCTTGGCTTTGTTTTTCTGTTACGTTTTGGTTGTCTGAGTTATGACTGAAGTTAAATCGTATCAGCATCATTTCTTCTTCTTCTCTTCTGAATGTTTGAGTGCCTGAAGTTCTCTGTATGGCTGGGGAAAAAAAGAATTAAAAAGGATTCTGAAAAGTGCAATGCTTTCCGACTTTTAATTCAAATTGTAATTTTGCTAAAAACCCCCCACCTGAATCTCTAGAGTCAATCCTGACCTCAAAACATCTCTGCCTTTCTTATCTGAAAGAAAAACTCCTTTTATTTCAAATAAGCTTCTGCTGAAATCCTCATGTGTCATTTCTTAATCAACTCCTTTTAACTACCCTAATTCTGCATTTTTGATTGGTTTAATCCTTAATCACCAGGAGCAAAAGGGCCCTTTATTTTCCATCAATGAGGAGAGTCCCTTGCAAGACACAGTTCCATGTCCCAGTCTCTGCTAATGCATTTTGCGTCCAAGAGTCACTAAACAAAGCACATAAACAGCAGTGGGAGCAGAGACCAGAATGCAGCAGTCTAACTCCAGCCTCTTGCTGCAGAAGTATTTGCTTATCAATGCCAGAGTGTCCTTTCTGCTATGTCAGGAATGGCAGGCATATCACTTTTTGTTTTCCTATGTACTGTTCTAATTATTGCTCTACTATGAGTGCATTTTACTTCTCAGCCCAGCCGTCTCTCAGGACTGATTTTCATTCAGTACAAATGTTCACATTATGAAGACTTAACATGAGGAGAATATAAATGAGCAGATGAGTGCACGCTAAGAACTTGCTTATACAGAAACTGTATTGATCAAAGGAACAGCAGAGTAAAACATGTCAGCATTAATGTGCTCCTATTTCCAGGGTTCAAACAGTTTTCTTTCCCATAAGAATGGTGTGACTTCTTGCCTCTGAAACCAGACCAATGTAATGATTTTTTTTAACTGAAAGTGCAAAGCATTTCTATAGAACATTATGTTATGGCACTAATAAGCTCTTGGAAAGCAAATGCACTTTCACCACTTTCCGAGATTACCCCTTATCACTATGTGAAAACTTATGGGAGAATCAAAATTCCAAAAGGTTTTCACAAATTAAATTACTACATGAGGATGACTTAGAACAGTTTTCGTCAAGTTAAACCAACACTTACTTTACCCAACTGCCCACTAATCACGCAGCTGACCCACTCACCGTCTCGGTTCTGGGAGGGCATGTCCCTCAGGAACTGCTTCTGTCGGGTGGTTTTGGGCCTTGTCCGCTGCCTCCAGATCAGAAGACTTCAGCTAACAGCCACACAGGCCCTCCTCTGACCTCTGGCAGTTCGAGGGAGACCAGAGGTGTCTCTGCAAAGACATCAACCTCTTTGGGATTTCAGTGACAACTTCCCCCCTCCTCCAAAGGGATGGTAACAGCTGAAAGCTACAGTACCCATTGAGTCCCTCATTTTCTCAGGCCAAGAAAGAGCTGAACAGAGGCAGAGGGCATTCACAGATAAAAGACTGCTTTGACAAAGATTGTGCAAAACAAAGTCCCGGGCTAGAAGCAGAGTGAAGCAACTCTTGGGCGTCCAGCTACGAGGTTCCACCTGAGGCAAGCAGGTTCCCTCCTGGCTTCCAGGGGGCTGCAGCTGGCTCTGCAGGTAGTGTTTCATCTGCAGTGAAACAGTTGCGGTTTACACTTCCTTTCATGAGTATATTCCTGGACATAGCTGAATTTAAAAAGTAAACTAGTGTTTTTACTAAACTTCAACTTACAAGCTCTACTGAGCGCAGTGGCTCTACTCTTCTATTTTTCCTGCTTGCTGACTACATAAACATGTAGGATACCTCTCAAGACTTTTATAAAATCAGAATCCTAACAAGAACATGAATCATGTCTAGACAGACATAAAAATGAAACAGTATCATTCTTGTCACCAGAATGAAGCAGGGCTGACACTCTTTGATCCATGACACACTCACACGGCCTTTTGGCTAAAACAGCACGCACAAAAGCGTGCACACTTATAATCAGAAACTCTATAAATAAAGAACATGAAGCCTCTTGAATCCTAACTTCCAGATTGTATAACCTTGCCATGAAGTAGTAGTTTACCACTCAATGCATCATACTTAACTTCAGTAAGACCATTAGTAGCATACAGGGCATTATCCAGTGGGCTCTCAATATTTGTATATCTGGATACAGTGTCTGAATCTGACCTTAAGCTCCGATCCTTTTTAGATTTATATCACCTTCAGTCAACACAGAAAGACTATTTAGTTTCCTTTTCACAAAGATCTTAATGCATATTCATCTGCTGCATTACAATCTAGCTACCAGACTGAGCATCCTTATGCCATGTTCACCCATGCTTGGAGACATCGGTTTCTACAACAGTCTCTCTTCCTACATCAGAGAATTGGTGTCTGTTGGTCAGGACTTACAAGGATTTACTGATCCCTCTGTCAGCTCTTGAACACCTCTGATGCACAGCTCAGCAGTGCAAACAATTTATGCCAAGGGCTGCTCAGGTATCAAGTGTACGGCTTTCGGCTACTTTTGTGCCTACGCTTAGACCAAGCATAGATGTCAGGAACAGTTTCTCCGCAGGTCACGGCAATCCAAAGACTTCCAGCTGGCCTAGTCCTGGAAGCTGAGCTACTGCTTCTTCACAGACATCTCTACAATCAGCAGTGTAGAAACACTCTTGAGTATGAACAAGCTAAAAGTTAGAACTGAAAACAAAACATGGACAAACTTGCACCCTCTGTTTTGAAATGCTAATGCTTTCCTGGAATAACCTGTGCATCGCTACCTCAAGACATCCCCCAACTGAGGCACTTAATTAAAAAACAGAATTGTTGCCTGAAAATGATTTATGAGTGTGAGGAAGGCAACATATTTGTTCTGTTCTGTGTGGCTCAGAGCTTCACACCTGCCTATATTAGGTTCAGTATCTATGTACCTGCATTCTTCAGTACTCATCTCACAGCTCCATGCAAGATATTTATGCTTTAATTTGGCAGCCAGGCTTCACTACCACTGGAAAAAAAATTTAAAAAATAGAGAATGCAAGAAGTAGGGTTGTCATGAGAGAATGGATCCAGATGCAGGATTTTTTTTTACCCTATTTTGTTTTCAATGTTGAGTAAATTAATAGTGGTGTCTTGTCAAAACCAGACATAAAGGCTATGGTTAGCATTTAAAAGAATGAGAATGGCTTAGAAACAAAAGCACTGTTGACCTTCATGGGTCAAAACATCTGAAATCCAAAGATGGGTTTTAGCTGCTTAAACATAGGTATCTAGTTCTTTTTAGAGGCTCTGGGGTATCCTCTCAGCCACAGTTCCTGACCCAGAAGAATGCATGTCTCATGTAGGGTTTGTGTCATATTTGCCAGACCCCTGCCAGGCCCACTCTAAAGCATCTCAAATGATACCGGCTGCCTATGTTCAGGCCATTAAGTCCCCTACACTTTATTTTTTCGAGCTGCTATTCTTGATGCCGTCCATAAGAACCGTGAATGAGCAGAGTCCCTAATAACCAGGTCACCTATCAAAGTATCTGGACTTAAATTCAGTGATTCATTTCTACAGTTTTACTTGAAACTGAAGAACAGTGACTGTTAACAAGCTGAACAATATAAAAAGGCACTTAATCATGGTAATGACTTGTATGGAGGAAAGGGGAGATTCAGATAGAATACAATAAATGGTTTTCCTGTTTTCATAGCTGATTGTCTGGTTTTGTGTTGTCATCTGCAAGTTGGATTTAAATTGCTCGATACCATAGGAATAGCTATCTCTGAATGAATTAGTACTCAGTAATGTTTGATATGACAAAGAAACTTCTCTCCTCAGAAGTAGGAGAGAAGATTCTCTCCTAAGCCTATGGAATAAGGGAACAAGCTGGGCTCAGAGCGTCACTGTGCAGGGATATATAGAACCACTTGTGAAAGTCTGGGGTTGTTTTTACTTCCAGGGATGATTGCAGGTTCAGATTAATTTTTTTTATTATTCTAGAGCAATTTTGAGACTATTTATTAAACTCAAACTCAATTTTTGACGTTGAAGAGTCAATATGGAACTTTAGGAAGTTGTACCAGTACTTCCTTCTAAATCCACACTGCCTAGAATATAAATTAATCCCTAGAGTTTCAAAGTTTTGCCATTTAAAACAATAATGACTTGGGACTAGCTTACCTACATGAATTTCTTCACATGATTTCAGCACCCAAGCTCTAGATCAGTATCTTGGCACAACACCCATAGTCAACTTCATGGTGTGATTCATACAAGCACTGTTTCTGTCAACCCTGTTACGTGCAATTTATTAAAGTCCATTTGGAGATGGGTGAAAACGTACATAGAGTGCAAAGGAAAAAATACTTTATTGTGAACATGGCATGTATGAGATGTATTTCAGAATACACTGTTACATATCAAATGAGAAAAGAAAAAAAGTTCTGACACGAGATAAATGACCAGTGCTTGAGACCAATGAAGAATATGCACACAGCTGTTCTAACAGCACAATTCTGATACCAATCACAATACATATTTATATAGCTTTTATGATCAGAGGCAATTTTAAACAATGTTTATAAAAAATGCAAATATTGGAACTACTCCTGCATTGTTGTACATACAAAGCTTCAGTGAATCTTGTAGGTGTGTGGAGGGAAAAAGGAGAGCAAACTGACACCCCACCTGAGGCAGCAGGAGGAAGAGATGGAGGAAACATCAAAAACAATCAACAAAACCACCGTTCTACAAAAGTAAAAAGGCAAATATTATCCCAAGGAATATTATTATTTTCACAAGAAATCTTAACTGCAGCATCCTGACTCCATTAAAACCAATGACAGTCTGCCATTGAGATCAGTGGAGCCTGAATTTCATTCTGAAATTTAAAACATTCTTGCATTAGTGTAAACATCAGCAGAAACAACATGTCAGCATCTATCCAAGTATTCAAGTGCCGTTTAAAAAAAAAATAAAAACCAGACAGTGCTAACCCAAAATGGCAGTACATATCCAAAAGGCAGATCATTAAAAGAGGTTTTTTTCAAATATACATTTTAAAGTATTTAAAAGCATCCACTTTTTAATATTTGTATATCATTGCTAGGGAAGGGATCTATGAGAAAAATCTGAATTATCTGCAATGACAAAGGAAGGGCACAGTGTTTGCTTAGATTTATCTGAAACCAGTATTTTTCCACTTTGGAGCCATGACATATACCTGCACATTCAAGCATGTTTCAAAGCAGTGCTGAGGAGTGGCTGTACTTCATCATTATGAAATATAATTCTTCTGTGCAAGTATTTCAGCATGATTCCTCATGAGCCATTTACACCCATTCATATTTTCAGTAAAAAAGAAATAGAAAGGAAAATTTCTTGAAAAATTTTTTTTGTCTTTAAACAACCCGATGAGATTTTATACATCATGGCAATTGACAATCATGCATTTGGAGATCCAGAGTCAATACAACTTTTCCATTTACTGTTAGAGTTGTGCCTGTCTTCAAACAGTTCTTTGCTAATTTTCATGCGGATCTCGGGACTGGATAACAGCTCCTTTATCTGATTCAGTCTGGATAACAGGGCCTGTGTTTCTCTGTGCAAAGCATCCTTTACTAAGTCTGCTTCATGGCTCTTTCCTAGAGGAAAAGAACAATATAATACATTTTATAACAACTTAATGTCATTCAGAATCATTAATGTATGGAGATAAAGAGATCGTATCTGGTTTGGATAGTATTAAGTGCTCGGTCTTTTGCCCATATTGATTTTTTATAAAAAGGTACTTTGTCAAAAAAATATAATTTACACCAACAAATGCTACCAAAAAGTAAAGACCAGTACAGTGTCACATTTAAGAAAAACTCCTGCCATATTACATACTGTGTAACAGTATCTGCGATGAGTATCTGTAGTGGTAATTTTTAGCTTGGGGTTGACTGCTGTTGACTAGGAAACAGCATGTGCTCTCACACGGAGTAAGCAGCCCTGCGGCAGTGCCAAACCCTCGGGCAGAGGGCAGCACTTCCACTTATGGCAAGGCCTCTTCCACGGCCATTCGTGACAATCCGAAAGGCAAACGCAAAGGGTTCGGTTTCTCTTCAAAAGCAAGGAAGGGACTCCTGGTATCAAGAGCCAGTGAAGACGGGAGCCGCCTGCTTCACCATTCTTGTCTTTTTTCCACTGTCCATCCCTCCCAGCATTCAACAGATTTTCAGCAGTGCGAGCACTTATTAAACCAGTAGACAGTGTCCTTCGATTCAGAACAAACTTTTGATAAGAGACTCACAAAGCAGAGTGCCTGTCACCCAGCATCACTTAGCAAATTTCAGCAGGGAGCTGGGACATGTTTTTGTGGTTATTCTTGGTGGGATATTTGCTCCCGGGCTTTTTTTGCACAGTGCTCACTTGCTGTTATCATTGTCGCTCTCATTCTTACTGCCGCTTGCTGCTTCTTCAGTTTTCACAGGGCTTCCATCAGTTTGTCTGGTTTTGTTTTGCGTTTCTTCTAAATATTGCTGTACAGCCTTCAGCACCGCGTTCTCCACCAGCCTTTTGCTGAGGCTCACCAGCTCTGCATCGTCTGGCTCTGCTGCACGTTTTTCACCTATGTGTCACAACAGACAAGAGAAGGAATTCATTGCTACGGAAAGATAGTAGCCGTAATTGTATCAGGAGCCTCCATCTGAGCTGGATTTTAAGTTATTAGCTGCCTCTTCCTGACTGTAAAAAGTAATTTTCCCCTCCTCAAGGTCTGAATCAAAAGCGTTTCATAAAGATGTATACAGTATATCAGATCAAAAATATTTCACTGCTCATCTTTATTGTAACACTCCAGTAAAAGCCACTGGCTAACAATATGAGCACCCACTCAGCTTAGAAGAGTAAGCGTGCAAATTTAATTTCTTCTAGCCAACGATCACCTGTGCCATCTGGGCAAAGATGAAAAAGATGGCACGTGATGAATTTACATTTTAGCAGCATTCTTAAATTTAGCTGCCCCTGTTTTGTGATTTTGCTTAATAAATCTGAAATGTCTACCTATGTATTCATTGCTTGCAATTCAAGAGTTTGTCATGGGAAAAATGAATAAAATACTCTAAGCGCAGGTTAGAAATTTTTTTCTAAACAAAGCGTAAAACTTAGAAAAACCACGTATTCCCTCCCTGTCTCTCTTCTGTCTTCTAACTTAAAGCTCTGACATTGAAGGAATGCAAGTTCCAGCAGTCTATTCTTAGATATCTGCTGATAAAAGCAAGAAGCTGGCATTTCCCTGCTTTGTTAAGAGTTCACGTGAATAAACATATACAACGAAATAACTGTATACATAGTGAGGATTCTCATATATCATTACATTATTTTGAAATTGCACTTTTCCATGAATCATTTTCCTATTAAACTATATAGCCTACTACAGCATCCTCCTTTTATGAAGAATGCAATCCAGGAAAAGCAGATTTTATTGTCCGATTTCCACTGGCCATGTAATTTGTCAGTTTGCAATTTCTTGCACTAGGTAAACAACTGTTTCCCTCCACCTATATTTAAAGGCCATACTTCTAATGTCCTTTTCTGGAGTTAGTGTTCTGCAACCAGTAATAAGAGGCTGCTTAGTCACACACATCTGGTGAAAGAGATACTGTTGTATGCTCTCAGCACAAAGCTCTGTACTGTTCAATTATCTAAATTTGCTCTTTTTCATACATGTAAATTTATTCAAGTTTGCTAGCACATACAGATTATAGTTCTAAAAGACTTTTATTAGTCTTCCTAGGGGATTGCACAATGCAGGAGTGATTTCACTGATAGAACATAATTCATTTGGGGATTCAAGGGGGAGAGGTAAACAAAACTCTTCATTTTCAGAGGCAGTGCTTTTATTAGCTGTTGATATGAGCATCCCACTCTGGAACAGCAAGACAGATGAAACTCTTCCAGTTCTGGGCCCCCACAACACTGTTACTGTAGGGAAGGAAGAACTGTGCTCTCCAGCTGAAGAGTCATCAGACTAGACCTGGGTAAAGCATTTCATTACATTTTGGAAAAATTTTTGAAAAATACTCTTAAAAATATTTTAAAAGGCAGCAATGGGAATAGTTTTGGTTAAAACAAAATTTTAAAAATAAGAGAAAACATTAAAAGTGGGATTAGCATTTCCAAGAAGAAACATTTTAGGTTAATATGCAAATCCAAGGGAGGCACAGGCACTATTCCCAAGACCACTCAAACAGGTACATACTCCACGTTCTCTGGCCTGCTGCTTACCATGCTCCTTCACTATCTCCAAAACCTGGGCTTAAGCCTATCATTTAACTTACTTAGAGGAGCAACTTAACTCAGGCTCTTATCTCTCAGGGGACCCAAGATGTATATGAGCAGCATCTCCTCCCAGCTTTTATGAATTGATCCCACGTGCTCCTTTGAACGCAGCCCTTTGATTCCAAGTTTCCTTTGCTTTTATTAAAGATGCTCGACAAAATATTTTGGTTGTTCCAGTCTATTTATTCACTAGAAATAAAAAAATAACACTGTGGCTTCCAGTTGGAGAGTTTCTTATTTTTCAGAATTGCTAGTGAATCACAGAAATTGTTACTCATGCAGCTCTAATGATCTGTCCATGCAACTCTGAACAAAATCAATGGAAAATATGGTGCTCAGCCACTCTGAGGCTTGACCCTATAGTACTTAATATGCAGAATATGACTAATAAGTCACAGAGGCCTCCAGATACCACAAAACAGTAGTGATTATATTTACTCAGAATGTAATTTTACTTGTAGTACATTATATTATTATTCTGACAGTCTAAAAAAGGACAGAGCTCTTCTTTCATAAATATTTTCTGCAAAACAGTTCTCATTTACATACATATGTATAAAAACCATATATCTACTACTGCATTTAAAATTTCAAATTAAGTAGATAGCTCATTGTGTATGTAATTTCTCAAGCATGAAAAAAAAATCAGACTACTTAAAATGAGCCTTTAAAAAGTACAGTTTATATAGCTGCAGAAGAATGGTTCAGGGGTTTTTTTGTTATTTGTTTGCTTTTAATATTTTGAGACATTCATGGCTCACCAGCAGTCTGGAGCCAAGTCTATAGTACCTCCTAAGTAGGCTCTGCATTCCCGCTGGGAAGACGTACATGGCATGTGACTGACGTGTGAATGCGAATGTATGCACAACCCTGTATGAAGAGTGCCCTTGGATTTATCTGTCCGGCCACCTTGGTGGACTGGCACATGGGGCTATATGATTCACTCATGCTCTGTTCATATTCTCAGACTCCCTAAGGAGCAGTTGTGTGAGTGTCTGTGCAATGCCGAGGTTCGTTGGCAAGGTAGTTGTATACTATTGTATCATTCCTATTTGTGACTGTTGTCAAAAAGAAATAGGTCACATAACAGGTATTGATCATCTATATTTACTTGAATATTTAACATAGATATATGTCCTGTTTATATCTCTCTCTCCATGCTGCATCTGCTGCTTGCCTGCTTCTTAGATGTATACAATTCCTTTGCAGTAGCCAAATGCTTCTTTGTGTAGACTGTCTTACGTTATAGGAATTATCAGAATATTGGTAAAAAGCCGTTGTAAATATGAATGTTCTAGATTTAAAAGGGAGGCTTAAAAATTCAGAATTGCTTTGTTTGTAAACTCTGTTCTGAAAAGGGAACAAATATATCACATACCCTGTATTTGCATCTATGCTATGCCTCTCAGTTTGGACTGTGCCACTACTTTATTTCTGCCTGTGAATAAAAAACTTCCACTGCTGTCTCCTGCATGTGGCTCAGAATAAGAATGAAAAAAAACCCCAACCCCCAAAACCCCTTCCATTTTGTTTATCCCAGAATTCTCGTCTATAATTTTCTAAAGATGAAAACAAATTCATACTCTGTGAATGTATCTCAATGCATCCATGTTAAACAGTGCTTTTTATTACTGAAACTGAAGCACACCTATTGTCCTGAAATGCCCACCATTTTTTACAAAAGGGAACTATCAACTGCACAGAATTATTCAAAAGGGCCTTTATGATCCTGCAGCGTGCTGCTAGCAGTTACAGACATGAACTGGATCCCTGCAACCAAATCCAAGTTTGGATTCAAATTCACTGCTGTATCCCTCTGCTGGACTAGGTTTACTCTCCAAGTCTACAACCCTTTACACTTTTGCAGGACTGTGATCTGGATTTTGAAATACTGCATTGGAACAAAACAGATTTCGTGGTCCTGGTACAGCATTTTCAAGGTCCTGACAGCCTGTTTTAGAGGCCATGTGGGTATCTCAGGTTTGGAGAGAGGCAGGACAGTTACTTAGATCCCCCTCCTGTTTATACTACTAGTTCTTTTTTCTGTGAGAGATTTAATTGAAGGAACCAATAGTGGATCCCTTTTACAGGAAAAGCCAGTTTTACAAACTTTTACCAGCTGCACTCCAAGACAACGTTCTGCAATCCTTGCCTCATGACCTCTACACACTGGGTTTTGTTTTTCCTTCCAACAACCTTTCATCACAACAAAATGATGCCAACATGGGGCAAACTATAAAGCAGACCCTTGGTATTTTGAATAGGTGACTGAGACCAGCTGGGAAGCCTGTACTCTGGCAGCAGAGGTTACAGTCTGCATCCTGGGGAGGGCTGTGGTAACAGACATGCCTTTGTCTACCTTTTGGTTCATCAGTTTTCTAACACTGTTTTTACAGACTCTAGAAAACAAAAAACCTATGAGGGACTCATGCAATCTTTCACAAACCAAACATTAAGAAATTCCTTCTGAATGCTGGAAAACTTCATTTTTCTACTTACACTGTGCCTCTTACCGACACCAAGAGGGCAACCCGAGTTGCTCTTGCATACATGCAAAGCTTTCAACACAGGACTCCCTTTCTATGGGGACTCCTCAGTGGCTCCTACTCATAACAATCCCTCACTATAAGATAATTGATTATTAACCCCTCCATACAGGGGAAAAAGCTTTGCTGGTGTGCAGTATAGTGCGACAAGAAGGAAGGAGACAACTACCTTAACTGTTGATGGACTAAGAAACCTTCAGCAGATAACTATCAATTATTTCTGCATATGGTGGGGTGGGAGAAAACAAAGGAAGGCCAATAAAACAAATACCAGACAGATTTCAGCATGTGAATTCATACAGTTTGCTATGTCAGTGGTTGTGTCTTTATCATGGATCACCATCTCTACGTGAGCAGAAAAAGAGCTAAGAGTGAAGACATCATTTATATTCACAACGCCCAGGCAGATGTAGACTATTGCAAGGCTGCCATGCACGGCTGCAGCCTGTGGAAACATCTAGGTTTTGCTACACTAGACTTTTGTGTCTACAGAATCTGATTCAAAATTAAATTAAATCTCATTGACTTCTGTGGGAATTGGATGGAGTCCCACATCTACATACTGAACTGCAATGTCCTATGCATCAGACCAATGTGTTGAACATTTTCTTTACTGAGGACTTTCAGATAAATTTGGTAGGCCATATATATTAACAGCACTATAGCACTAGAGAAATACCACCCCAGTTCACCCTGCAAAGACAGTGAGTCCACAGTCCATAATAAATTGAATAACAAACTA